CAAAAGACTTCGACATACGTGGTGAACATTTTGAATATCTTTTAGGTAAACATATGCAAATAACGATATTCATGTTTCCAATGTTTTTTTTTCCTCGTATTGAATGTTACGCCCTACTTTTCTTTCGCCTATATCTTGAAAATTATGGGTCGTACGAATACTCTGAGCACTTTTTATGTATTTCGAGCGAAGAATCAGGTTGTGCAGAGTTTGGACGATCTTGATGGAACACCTTGCATAATGGTTTACAATGAGAATGGTTTATAATGAGTTTCTTCATTCACAATTCACTTTAATGAATTTATATCAGGTATGGGTCTAAAATAATCTAAAAGTTTGCGAAAATTGCTGTTTATAGCTGGATTTTCTCGTAAGCGATTTATAAGAAATTTTTAAAAATTGCTAAGTATTTAAAAGTAAATAAAACTTATGAAAGGAAAAAGTAAAATTTGAAAATACGTTAATTATTTCTACGAAAACACAACCACAAATCAGATAAATAAAAATCTTTACTATTTTCAGACCTCAAATAAAAAATAACGAGTTATTAAATTTTTTGAACGAGGTTATATGGAGTATAAATGTAATTTAGGGAAACTGAAAACTCTTTCTTATTAAATATCTCAACGACATTTAAAGAAAAGCTATGAAATTCTAATTAGCGTATAAAATAAACATACGAGTGACAACGTTATTGTAACCCATTACTTAATCATATATACTTCTCCTGTAAAATTCATGTAAGCTCCTTACTATTTATTTTAGTGTTAATGTCGGATTAATATTAATGAAAATTCAATGAAAAATTAATATTAGCTTGTTTAAATACCTGTCAGTGTGCTGTCAACAAACGGAAATTTGTTTTTCGAAAAGAAATCGACTTGATTTCCTTTTATTCGGAACAAAAATATTCTAAAATTATTATTTATTTATTTTATTTCATCTACTTAAGAGATAAGTTTTTATAAAACTGGTTAAAAGTAATTTTGTGTCTTGAAGAAGGCTATAATCTATGTCAGATATTCTTGGGATGCGTAGAACATTATGCATAGAATAAATAATTATTACATTTAATTATCTCTTAATATTAAATTCAAATAGTTGAAATAAAACAAATGTTTTCTCAAAATTTTGTGAAAAACCGTTTTAGTGATTTACATTACTTCAAGAAAAACATAATATTTTCCATTTTAAATGAATTTCTGATTATTGATCATTTTAAATTATATGAATCATTTAAAATGATTTGAATCATTTAAATGATTTGAATCATTTAAAATGTCTAAAAACTAGTTTTTATATATGTAAACATTGTTATAATCTAAAATGCATATTTAATACTCTAAAGCAGGGTTCTCAACCGGTGGTACTGAAGACAAAAATAGGTGGTATGCAGACAAAAATAGGTGGTAAGAAGTAAAGTATTTTTAAATATTAAATTCAAAATTTAAAATCCCAACATCCTGATTTATTGATTTAGTTTATTTCTCTAACACTCGTAAATTTATGCGATCTGAGCTTAGTTCAAGAGTGGTGATAGTAGTGTGTGGTGGCGGTTTTAACTTTGTAATAGTGGTACTAAAGATTTTCAATTTTTACGTAAAGGTACTAAAGGTTTTCAAGAGTGGTCGTGGTTTTAACTTTGTAGTAGTGGTACTAAAGGTTTTCAATTTTTGTTTGGATGGTACTCATTAGTAAAAAGGTTGAGAACCGCTTCTATAAAGTGGATATTTAATACAAAGAATATTCGATACTATGAATACAAGTAATGTATAAAATTATTTCGTACATTACTAAACATATAGCATTTTCTTAAATACTATAGTTATGATTAGTTACTATGAATGCACGTAGCAAAGATTTATTCTAAATAAATGAGTTTAAAAATTTACGGAAATAAATGAAACACATTGGAATCTTTGGCCTATCATCTTTAAAGTCAAATCATTAAACTTTTAACTTGTATGCTTAGAAATAGATAAAATACAAACGCTTACTTCACATTTGTGATTCCATGCTTTAAGAAAATAAATGAGAAATATAAAATTGTAAGACATCGGTTTTTATGGAAGCAGCGAACACAAAATGTCAGCTGTGCTGTCACCGGGATTCGAACCATGGATCTTTTGATTGCTGCTTAAACGATACACTACGGTAGCATACGCGAGAGAATGCTATAATTCTTTATAAAGATGGAAATGAGAAACGATGGTCATTAAATAAAGATTTAAAACATTATCTACTCTTTAATAGAAATAGGCTATACTCTTGATTATAACATTTAAATTCACAATCAGTTAATCTGTGCTGCAGCAGGAAATAGAAAATCCATTTACCCTAGCCATAATTAAGTATTTAATTACATCAGACAGAAAAACAAAACGTATACCACATTTTAGATCTGTACTATAAATTATCGATAATAGATTAAACCTATTAGCATTAATTATACTTAAATTACATTTCTTTTTAGTTTTTCTCATAGAATTGTAATATTCGGGAAAAGAATATTTTTGCAATAAAAATTTGAAGTAACATTAAATGCCTGGAATCATATTAAATTCTTGGGTAATTATGTAGCCGCTGAATAACCGCTGCCGATATAAAACGCAGTAAAGTAAACATGCAGCTGCTTGATTCATAAAATATATTTGTTATGGAAAGTAAATTACATTTTAACATAAGTATCAATTATTATTATTACTGCTTTTCATTTTTACCGTTAGTTTCATTTTCTTTTTACCGTTGGTTTCACTTTTACAATTTAAAATGATTTTAAGTGCACTAACATACTGAATTTTTACATTAAGCTCGCGTTATTTTACGTAGAATATTGTAAAAAAAATTAATAAAACAAATTCAGTGCTTAACTCGCGCTTCTTTCATAAGAACTCGGCATAACAATTGCTTCAAAGTTTCATTGCACTACCTGCCTTTTCTTCCATTTCATCCATATTCGTCTATTTTTCATCTATATTCGCCACTTCAAAGTCGTGGTTGGAATATGGATTTAAATAAATCTATATGTAGTACTTATTGTTATACAGAAGCTCTCATGATTTACGAAAAATGATTTTACATAGTGTCTCCCTGCTTGAATTAAGATTTATTTACTATGAATAACACAAGAATTCATCATGTAGCTTTAAATTACAATACCTCAAAGTCGTTGGAAAAAAGTTTCAGTGTTAGAGCAGTATGCTATATACATTTGTCGAATTTTATAAATGCAAATATGTTACAATAAATATTAAATGCCTTAGATATTTATATGATTCCCAGAAGCAGAGAAACTGATTCTTAGTATCATATAAAAACGGTAAAAGTGTCTCTTAAGTTTATGCTGATAGATAATTTATACATAATATTAAAACTCAAGAATACACATAACCTTACACATTTGTAAAGATCATCGTTTTACATTCCAGAAACGAGTTTGAAAATATCTTTCTTTACGAGCATTCTTTAATACATCTGTGAGCTTCACTTTTACAATATAAAATGATTTTAAGTGCACTTATTTTTCAGACGTCTCTGTGACAAAATTCTCTATGCAAAACAACATGACTTTCATCTCTAGTAAACTAAAATAGTAATTTACGCTAAGGATGTCAAAAAAGCAAATTTACGTTCAGAAATTTACGGTTGTCTTCTAGCTCAAATAGATGAATAATTAATGCTTTAAATGCTAACCATACCCTTTTTTGCATTCGAAATAAGTATAAAGTAATATGCTCTTCAAACAAACTGTAAAGAAGAATTGCGCTTTATATTTACTTTGCGTGTGTGCCTTTATTATTATTTAAAACTGAGCCTACTGTAGTTATTCTACCATTAACTAGTTTTATGGAGTCGGTATCTTTCTGTCTAGTAAGTGGCATTTCATTCATTTACAATTTTATCGATTTAAATATTTTTAAAGATTATTTCAATTAACTTTTCATTCATCCAAATAAATTATCTTTGACGATAAAATTTCGAAATTAATTTTACAACCAAACAAGTTAAAAAAAAAATCTGAAATGTTTCAGATTTTAAATTACGTCCAAAGGGGCGTTTTTTAACATTTTGTGTGTTACCTTTCTTTATTAAATATCATGTTTCCTCGCACTTAAACCATAAGATCCAGTGCCAACAGCAATATCGCAAAATGTTTTTAAACGAGCATATCTTTAGAATTTCCGATACAGAGGACTCACGCGCTGGAGATAAAAATGTTTTTTCTGCCCAACGTTGCATTGCTCGCTTTGAAATCCTTTGTTTTGTTAATAAAAATTCGTCAAAGTTTTAAAAAATAGGAAATCGATCATAAAACAAATTTCAAATTTCAAATTTGGTCTTCCCAGCTCATATTCGTTGGAGGATTACGTTATTCAAAATTCGTGACTCTTGTCCGTGTTTTATCCCATACGAGAAATATACATACATTATTGCAGATTTTTCATTATTTATTTCTTCAAATATAATGCAGGACTCTAACATTTTTGTGGCAACAGTTTGAAAAGTGAACCGACATTTATGAGTCCGACGCAAAATGCCAAAACGAAACTAATAGTCCTTCGGGATTCAAATCCCTTTGGACTAATAAATAGTTCAAAAGGAAAGCTGTTAGAGTGTTAGATACATTTATTTGTTGTGGACTAGTGAGTTTAATATTTTCTTTTGAGTTTAGAAAATACGTCAAGAAATAACAAGTCACACGGAGCGTTTTGACATTTTAGTAAATGTAATCTGATTAAGAAACGATATCAGATGTAAAGTTAGAGATACTTTGTTTGAGTTTCATAATTTCATTATTAAAATGGCAATATTTAACGTAAATAAAAGAATAAAACTCGTTGAAACAGCTTGCAAAATGAACACAAAAGGAATGGGTTCATCACATTTGTTTTATGCAGTTAAAGAGAAAGTGAAACTTTTAAATGAATCTGAAAATTTCACATGTTGCTGGTGATATCGCATAAAAACATTAAAAAGAAGCAAAATTCGAAAGTACTCACCATCGTGTCGTAAACTTGCACAACCAGCCTGTAGTCTTTCAGAATAAGTGGACTGCTGTTGATGTGTCTTGCGGCCAATTTGACAGCTGGGGCAACACCTCTTCCTATCGAACCTTCAGAGATGTTGAAGGAGAGGGGGAAGAACGCTCCAATGTGTATATTGGCTTGCGATGAGATGGAGGCAGAAGAAACTTGAGCCATCAGTAAAGGAATGAGGAAGCGGAAATAGAGGAGTAATTTTGTAATACCGGAAGTTGGGTATCTTCCTCTCAGCATGGCAGTACAGCTGCTATGGAATGTGTAGCAGATTATGAGACAGTATTACCGTCCTAGATTAAAATCATTTTTTTCTGACGACTTCTATACTGAAGTTGGTGCATTTCGTGGTTCAAATAACTTGATTGATAATGTTCTGTTCCCTTTCAGAATGTCCTCAGTCACTTAATAGAATAACATTAAGTTAAAAATCGAGTAAAAATTTGGGCGTTTACTGAAATCTTCAGATTAGCAAAACAGTTTAAAATCGTTTAATTTTCTTGTATCCTAACACTAACCCTAATTTTTCTTAAAAAATTATACCTTCAGTTCAAAAGCATCTTAGGAGAGAAATCAGTTAGAAAAGTCTCCAAATATTTCTTTACCCTGAATACTAAGCACACAACATGTAGATTGCAGCTAAAGACTCTTGATGCTCTGTTTAATGAAAACAAGATTTCCATTAATTACAGAAGGACTTTTTGCTTAAAAATTGATTGTTTTCTGCAACTGTTTTTATCACTGAATCATCATGACTAAGTAATTTCAACATATTTAATGCGCGGATGATCTCTTTTCACAACGACTGATATCATATATTTTCAAATAAAAGACACATATAACTATTCAATATTTAGCACCTGTAAAATGGCGCCAGAAGTACTACATCTAAGGAAGTTAAAACGTTTTAGATGAGAACAATGGAATGAAATAAACACCTTTATGCAAAGTTCTAAATATTTTCACGAAATGATTCAGAATGTTTTGGCGCAATGTGCAGTTTAACAAACGTAGTGCATTGCCTCTTACAAAATACCAAACACGACTCACAGAACAAGTTAAAGAACAGTGAGAATTTTGTATAATGCTTTCAGAAATATAATTTATCGAATCTAATCAAGTAAGTGCGTTTAATTTTTTTTCACATAGACAGATAATGACAAATATTCACAAACTGCACAATGAAACTTTGATAAATTTATATTATGGGATAAATTCTCACTTATATCTTTCAGTTTCCTTTATTGTACTACGATAGACAGTGACGAACTAATATAATACTTCTTTATTAAAATTCCTACAGTATACTACTAAAGTACTCTACTTAATTATCATCAGCATTAACCAACTAGTATAGACTGTTTTGGTCTATTTTTATACAGACCTAAGTACGACAAAAAAAGATTTAAATGAAAAATTCTACTAATCACCTCGTAAAAGTACAAGGAAAATAAAGCATCCATTTTTAGAGACATGATTTTTTTCCTCTTTTAGAGTAAAATATATTTAAGTTGAAACAAACTGTTAATTAAAATAAAGCAGTTTCTATTGGCATTTATCTGTGCTGTTTTAACGCAATAAAGTATACCAATTTTTAAAATTTAGACAAATTCTTAAAAGTCACCTTTTTTTTTTTTGCTGTTACATCCTCACATTTCTTCATGAAAATTTCTTTCCATCTGCCTTTGAAAGGAAGTGAAATCGCAACTGCTGCTGAAAGTTCGAAGTTCTTAGACTTTTCTCCATAATTTAAATCAATGGCCATCGGATGCGAAAGAAATTTCCGGCACCCATTCCTTCTAAAATCATTTTAATTTTTTCCTTTTCTATACCTCGGATACTTTAAATTTAAGAAGTTTTATATAGTCTTAAGTGATTACCTATGTTAGGTTTCTTAAAACACCGAAAATTCAGTGGGCCGCCTAACCTCAAACTTTTTTTCTTTTGAATCTTAAACGTGGCTTCACTGCTGAAAACTTCGTAAGCGACTGCCGGGGCTTCTCTACCTGAAATATCTTTCCCGTCTCCGTTAGGTGGCGCTGTGAGACTTGCCCGGGCTGGCGTGTGCCGTAATAACGTCGATTATTACATTCTCAGTTTCTGCACGTAATTTAACAATATTTTCTTTTCATTTTTTTTTGTGCTACCGCACTTGCCAATGCATCGATCATGTTCCACGATATTATACAGAGCATATTCAAGTGTAAGGATGCATTCAGCACTGCATCCAAATTTATGGGCTGCAAAATGGTCATTCGAGATTTAGAATTATGTTTAGAGTTTTCAAGCATTCCTTTGCTCTTTCCCTTCACATTACAAGCAAACGTGAAATTTATTATTTCTTGGAAAGATCTAAAAAAAAGAAAAAGAAATATCGTTCCGTTGTAAAAATTCCCATTATTTACGTTTAAGAAAGGGAATAAGGTAATGCATATAAATTGGTTATAAACTTTTACGATGATGACGTAAACGACGGAAGACTTCGCAGTAACGTCTCAAAATTATCGCAAAATATATAATAGATGGAAATATCGTTTTGCATCTTGAAAGACAGATGCTTATGAATAAAACATCAGTCATATCAGTGCAATTTTTAATATGATTTTTCACAGGATGATTAGATTCACTTTTATCTTTATATTCTTCTGTTTTATGTACACAAATATTAAGCTTTTTAGTACTAAAATGTTTTATATTACAAAAATTAAATGCATAGATTTAACAAAATCAATGAGACTGATAAAAGAAAAAGAGAGGAATTTTAAACGCTGAAATAAGTTATTTATTTCATTTAAAAAGTTTGCGAGTTATTTTACATTGAAAAAATAATATTGTATGTTATTTCTCACTCTAGAGGAGGAAAATTTAAATAATCCTGCAGGTTAAGATCAACTTTTAATGCTTATTAATGCAACTTTTAGTAGAGAATTTTTGAGAATATAGAGAACAAATATACATAAAAAGTTTTTCGTTTTTAGATTAACCGATACTCGGTAAATTAATGCCCGTTATCAACTTGGCTAACTGTGACTGTGAAATTCATACCAGGGAATTTTTTTGTAAAGTCTCTTTCCTTGAGCGCGTGAAAAATGAAAATACCTAACATTTAACTTGAGATTTCTTTCTATATAGAGACCATAGAAAATTTGGATTTTTTAATTGTTGATTAATTTAACCATAAGATTAAACTTTTCCACTGAAATTACCTCTATCTTATTTGAGGGAATCTTAGCACTGTAGTTTAAGAATAACCCGAGTAAATTTTCAGAAGTCTATTGCTCAATTCTGATTGTTACCAAAATTCTCAGAATAATCCTGAATCCCTTTCTCTTCGGAGTACGAGAAGATGTATTAAAATTCATGACTTTAATATACAGAATTTTACTAGCAGAGATTTTTCAAACTTGAAGCATGCTGAAACAAAGACTATTAATAACGCAGTCTGTAAACTTCTGATTACAGTTTGATGAAGTGTTTACTATTGAAATTTTAAAAACAAAGTTTAAAACATTAAAAAAACAGAAAAAGAAATAATTTTAAAATCAAGTTGCACTCTGGTCTTGATATGCAAATTCAAAATAGTTCATGAAATAGTTTTGAGCTGAAATTTAGGCTAGGTTTCCTAACATAGGAGTTCAACTCCCAGAATTAATTTTATATACCATAAAATATTAAAAGGATCTGTTCCGTTTGGTGAAGCCAAATATTAAAAAACACGTGCTATAATATTATTTAACATAAATTAACATGTGGACAATTGTGCTTTTATTTAATACGGAAGGGGCTTTTTTGCTTGAAGCTATAAGGATGCATTGTTTGCATTGCATCCAATGCATTGTTTGCATCCAAAACATTGTTGCATTGATCCAATGCATTGTTTGCATCCAAAACATTGTTGCATTGATCCAATGCACTGTTTGCATTGGATAGGTTCGGGGATCTATCGTGTCAGTTTGTGCGCATTAAGAGTATGCGTGGAATTCACTATGACGTATTTACTAAAACAATACAATTTTGAACCTGTTGAAACTTGTCATCGTTTGACTAACATATTATTCATCACCAACTTTCGTAAATATCGAACGCATTTTAGAACCCATAGAAAATGAATATAGATAATCAGTACAAACGTGCTGTGCTACATTTCTTATTTTCGTGTGGTGAATCTTCCAGGTTTGCAGCGATAAAACTGAATAGTGTACATGGTGAACACACTATTAATGTAAGGACTGCCCAGAAATGGTTTAAAATATTTAATGTTGGAAAAATCAGCATTGATGACGAACCCCGTTCAGGACGTTTTCAACTGTTAGAACCAAATCAAACGATTCATTCAGAAGTTTATGGTGAACAACATTGATGTCTAAACTCAGAATTGATCAAAAAAACGCCCACTATTGGTGAATATCAAGAAAGTATTGTTTCATCATGATAACGCTAGACCGCATACGGCTCGAACAACGCTGCAAAAAAATTAGTGAATTTAATTGGGAGCTTTTGCCACATCCTGCTTACTACCCAGATATTGCCTCAAGTGATTTTCACTTATTTCGTGCCTTACAAAATGTTTTACTGGAAAAAAAAAGTAAATTCTAAACAGGATGTACACAACGAACTTTCAAGTTTTTTTGTATCAAAACCAGTCTTTCTACAGCAATGGCGTAAGCTGCCTGTAAGATGGCGAGACATTGTAGATAATGGAGGAAAATATATAATTGATTAAAATGTTAAATTTTGTATTTTATATTATTTAAAAATTTACCAAAAATGCGCACGAATTTACGGACTGACCCAATATTTGCTATTTGTTGCACTTAACCGGTGACCTTGAATTTAATATTTCTCTTAAGTGATAATATTTTCTTCTCTTTCAAGACATAAAATCCGGAATATTTTAAGGATTATTTTAATTGTTATCTTTGGTATTAAAGCTTTCCTTCATTTATGTTCTCCGTCAGCTTCACCAGAAGTGAAACTTAAATTAGGTTAAATAATGAGAGAGAATCAAAGTTAAGTGACAGAGTGTTCGCAATTAACTAAGAGCACTGTAACTCTCAGATTCTATCTGGCATACAATTGTGCGAAATTAAATTATTCAGATACTTCTTGACGGTGTTACTTACCTACTTTATTAAAATAAATTACTTTAGTAAAACTTCACTCAAAGCCAAATTCTTATACGTATTAAGCAGTTTTTTTTTTTTTTTTTTTTTTTTTTTAATTTTTGGAATAGATTGGGAATAAATTGCGCGTTGTGTTATATGGCTCGCTATGAATCACTGCAGTTTTCTACTTATTTTTGCTCGTAAGACAATTGATCAGTTTTATATGGATTTGTATTTTATAAATATATGTGCAGGTATTTAATGAGAATTAGTCTATAAATTATTCTTTTAAAATAAGCTGGTTAGTTAATTAATTTAGATAAAGAATAATAAAGCTTTCTACATTAAGAAGAAGGCATTCATGAGTAATTTCCAAAGGAAACTGGCTCTTACTCACGTTACTAACTACACTTTTGATTTCATTAAACTAGTCACGAATTCCTAACAGACTTAGAGCAAATTATCGCCATATCTGAAGTTAATCACAGAGTCTTGAGAAGGTTAAAATAACCTTTTTGTTAAATGAGAACTTTAACATAAACGTATGTTTTGTGCTTAACAAACAACCACCGCTTGTGGCGATGAAATTTAAGGTAACGGTCAAATTCAAATTAAAACTTAACGTAACATTCAAAGCTGGCTTAGAAAATTAGATGTCAACATCAACAGCATAAAGCCGAATAATTACAATATTATAAGAGCTAGCGAAACCTAATAGCATGGACTCGAGAACCGAAAACTCTGTCTGTAAATAATTCGTTTATTAAAAATAAATAACCCTTCAGTATGTAAACAACTATGAAAACTTCACTCAGCAGCTTATCGATTCAAAACAGAATTCTTGAAAAGAGCCCGCTGTCAGCTGGTTGTTTCACTACTCACTTTCTCAAATTTGCGGAGTCAAAGTACAGTTTGCATCAATATATAAGTTAATAGGAAGTCTATATTTAGATAGTTATTCCTGAGATTTAGAAAACCTGAAGTTGGATGTTTCTGAATTTGATGTAAGAAATATGTTTCTAGGCATTAGCAAATACTTTAGTGACTGACCTTATTAACTGTGGTATAAGTTATTAATTGCAGCAGTTCAACCAAGACTGAATGCTTATATTTCATATTAATTTTAGTGAAAAGCCAGCAGCAGGAAGGGGATCCGAAGGTCTTGAAGTATTTCTTTTCCCGTTTATCTCCAGACTTTCGAATCGGCAAATATTTAGCACTCTCGTTTTCTCAAAGAAAATATAATTTCAAGCGTCCATACTTGCTAAGGTGTCCTTATCCTATCTCAGTTAAGTAACTGCCAATTCCCTCAATGTTCTAGTTAAACCAAGTCATACCTTAGTCCGTGCACCTGTGACTCATACTAAAAACGCAACTACTCTGGCAATAAAATGTTTCATTCTTAAAAGCATACCATTGTTCTATTAGCTATACTTTTAGAATTACTCAATTTTTTTTTGTTTACTTTTAAATCACATTTGGACATCTACAATAAATTAAGTTTAATAGCTTTTCCTTTTATTGCGTGAACATAGGCATTGATTCCAATAGACATTTTCTTTAAACTTTCTTTTTTATGATCCAGACAAAGTGAATTTAATGAAATATTTGTATTTATTGAGAGTTTTATTTAACTAAGCCTCTTTTTGTTGTATAAATATAGCAAATCTTGAATTTTCTATTCATTGCACGGATAACCGAAAATATCGAGTAGGCCGAAAAGATCAGTGCATACATTAGTTTATGTATGGTTGAAACTGATGTGCAAAGTACTGCCTAAAACAGGTTTCGATGAAATTATATAATACCAACGTAAAGTTTTCAGTTTTTCTTTAGAATAATATGTCTCACTTCGCCTTGATCT